CAGATATTCGAAATCCTTGATACGATTCACCAGCGACCAATAAAGAAATAAAATATTATTTATACGATAGTTACGCACAGAAATGATCGTATTTAGAATGTCCGTGCTGCATGTATCGATAAGATTATTCTTTAGTTCGACTTGTTAACAACTCTGATGATGTGCGATAATATCTTAGGAGCACTAAATAGAATTATCCGCTGATGTACAAAGTTGATTCGGTTTTAATGAAATAACATAACCTCAAGTCCAGATGTTAGGAACATTACCTGGAGATCTATTCAATTCACGGGGCTGTTTTCATACCTTATTCTCAGTACGACGTAGACATATATTGCTCATATTTTTAACTGGCTTTTGTAATGATACGAAGGTTTAGGAGTCATCTGTCAAATAGTTTGATCATAAAGGACCCTTTGGGGGATTTTCGCTTTCTCAATACGAAATTCCGAGGCACGACTCAACGAATTGACTTCGTTCCCACAACTGCACAAGCTAAGGTACGTAGCGAAATATTCTTAGCTAAAAAACTTGAAATATCTGAAAGTAATCTCGGCAATTTCTCAGACTACTGCAACCGACAAAGCTGCCAGCAAACAGACATCCATTTAATTCACAAGAATAAAATACTAAGCCGACATTATAAAAGGAACCATAACCACGAGTGGAGTTGTCGCACAGGGCAAGAAGACGGGCAAGATCTCAACACGACAAGCACATCACAAAATAAATTTTTAATGTTTGCAAATTTGAAAGCGTAACTCCATATGTAATAAAATAAGAAGAAGAAAGTAGACCGTAAAGTAAACGAGTCTGATGGGTAAAATTAAAAATTGCGTGCAAGGTGCAAGTTCAAGAAAAAAATTCATTTACTGCTCAACGAAGCAAATGGTATTAGATAAGACTCGTATTTAAAAGCACAATTGTCCGTTTGAACGACCAATTATATGACGCGGTAATGCTCTTTGTCAGCGAGCTCCCATGATACTCGCAGGAATGCTTGCTTACATTTCCATAATTTGATCAAGATAACAACTATGGACACAGTGAATGTTTTGCAGGTATAGAGTAAATTTCGCTGCAAGCTAATTATTAACGAACGTTCGACAAACACAAACAGAAAAAATGACGAAGCGTTAGTGTACCGACAAGATACAACGAAAATTGTGCGCTCAATTCACAGTAGATCTGACAAAACTCACACCAGAACAAAATTAAAACTACGTAAGGGGTAAATTTGCATTAAAGAAATTAAATGACTCTCGTCGGATTAATACAGTAATAATACTAGAACTAGACATGACACAGCTGACATATATATTATATCATGTGATACAAGTATAGAGGCCAGTCTGCATTCCATGGCAAAATACTGATGGAACGTAAAAGATTAATCAACCCAATCGAATCTTCTTTCTGGTCCATGGGATTTATTATGGGATCCCATTATAATGGGCCATTTATGGGATCCCATCGTCTTGTAATACGTGACTTAAAATTTGCTCATTATTGTCAGCACAAATTGGTTCTCGCATCACATTTGTCACGGAATGCAAACTGGTATATTGTGCTGCAGGGCTTGCATAGTTTGCATAGTTATGCGTTATACATGTTTGGAACATGTATAAAAAACTTACATCTACATCCATACCTAGTATGAAATTAGAAACAAGGTATATACTTAAATTAGCACTGCTTGCTGACCTTTTTCTTACGTGGCTTCTAGGAAATGGTATAGTTAATTGCACCATTGATACGAAGGCACATACAGACTCGTGGTCAGTACTCGTTAACAAGGCACCTCATTATAGGTTAATGGGCATGGGCAGCATCTCGTTAACAAGGCAGCTCATTAAAGGTTAATGTGCGAGGGCAGCATCTCGTTGACAAGGTAGCTCATTACAGGTTAATGTGCGTGAGCAGAAACTCGTTAACAAGGCACTTATTACCATTTGAACAAATACATTCGCTTATTATGCATGAATAAAACGTCTAGTCTGAATGTGTAGAAAGTTCGTAATCGCACGATGCGCGCGCATCAGGATTAAAATAATGGATGCATAATTTAGAGCTTAGTCTTGACGTAGATGACAGTTTGTTTACAGTATCACAAACATGTCCAACGCAACACACAATTATTATTATTATTATTGTTGAGAGCAAAGACGACTCGGTTACCAATGGCCGCAAGGTGACTAGAGGCCTGTGGAGCTCAAGGAGATCACTTTGTAATGGATTTTTTTCGCTTTGAATAAACAAGAGAATAATACCAAATGAGGCCTCGAAGGAACGGAATATATAAGTTGGGAAGTCATGTGCGTGGGCTACCAAAGGTGATTCAATGATATATATAAAATTTATGGCAAAATAGCAGATGCGTTGTCTTTAATTAGAGACGAGTCACGTTCATGTTAATTCATTAATTAAATTTTCGACTACTAGTTAATGGAGAACGAGACTCATTACCACAAATAAAGCGAAGTATCACCACCAGAGGCATCAACAGAAACTTCAGGGAAGTTGACATTAACTGAACTCGATGTTGATCAGTAAACAGTGACAGGAAAAGTTCTAGAAGTTGGACAGAACTTGTGAGCAGCACGTTGAATGCTTAGTGAAGGCGTCGCTTACTAATAGCAATGCTCAATTAACATAAAATACAAGAGCATAGACCAAGCATAGATAAAATCCTTATGTTAGACAATCATCAAATATTGCCATTTGAAATTTAGAGAAATACAAAGAACGAACTTCAGTCTATCGGGTTTCCCGAAAGAAACTTCCTTCAATATTAACTATAATAAATAGCGAATGTGACTGAACGAAATAAACCACGTGTGAAGTGTAATATAAACTGCTCAGGAAATATATGCTTAAATTCACATACGGGTGAGTGCTGAAATTCTCAACACAAACAAAAATAAAGAAAACAAAGAGACAGGGTAAAGCGATCAGCTGATTGGATACCTCAGATTCTAAAGGAGAACCTATTCTTGAATACAGAACACTTGCAATGTTGCACAACGTGCTAGCGGTGCTAGAACTAGTATTGCTAGTTAAACGCACACTGTGCTCTGGTCGAGGCCAAGAGGGGCAGATGGCTACAGGGTGAGATGGCAGCAGGAATCAAGAATTGTATTAAGGACAACTAAAAAGGATCAAAGCTAATAGTTTCCCATTACAAGCTAAAAATAGAAGCAACTACTTATATAGAATATTTATATTCTAGAACATTTTTCGGTGTCCTCAAGTCTAGCAAGGTTTCATTACCAGAAGTAACAGAGTTCGTCATGGCCAAATTGTTCGTATAAAATACAATACGTTTTAATAATGGTCGGGGCAGGGACTTACTACTACTAAAAAGGCAGGTTTTCGTCGCGACGACAAGCAGATTTATTGTCTAGGCTGAGCACAGGTTTCAGTCACAGGCACTTGCTTTGCTGCGTGAACTTCAAGTTAGTTTCACGCGCGGCGCGCAGTGAACACCTCGACGTACCGGTATTACAAAGTGAACACGTGAATGATGTAAAAGTGAACACGTAACGTGCAGTGAAATGTAAAAAGTGAAAACAAGAATGCAGTACTTGCGAAGCGAACGTGAATGCAATATGAAAAGAACGCGCGATCATATACGAACGCGAGCTCAATACAATTTCAATTGGTACTGGACACTTTTACGTTTTCAAGACTTCATACTCCCCAATATTTCCCATTTCACAATCATCTCATTTGGAAATGAATCAACACGACAGAAACAAGTTTCAGAATACGTCCTGCGAAGCAATTTTCTGAAAAAAAACGGTAATTTCTCATTATATGAATTCGAATACAAAATAGCTTTCAAGAATAAACCAAAAATTTGTGTCACATTTTTGAGTAGCTCGCCAGCCGGAACGAGGTCTTGAGCCAAGAGCAACTTGAAAGTACGTGTTTTATGAGGACATTGATTAGGAAAAATAGAGGCAAATCTCAGTCCATCTTTGTTAGAATTGCGAAGTTCAAAATGCCCGAAAGCTTACCTCGCTACTACAGACTTCAACGTTAACTTATCGGATCCAAATCGTAATATAAAACTCATACCAAAACTAAAGTTTCAAAAGCCCTGAGCGATGGCATAAAATATTATTATTATTAAAATACAAATCTATTATGTAGTAAAGAGAACTTTGCAAGAATAGACTGGTATAATAGTAAGAATTCATGAGTTTGGCTGTAATGAAGCAGTAGCGTGATACTTCAACGTGTAATTCACTCTAATGATACTATGCACATCAAAATGATGGATATTTTATGCAAAAATTATTATAATCAATTTGGTACAGCGATGGTCATGGAATTAATTATAAATCAGTTACTCTACCAAAGAGTGCGCACCGTAGTATGTAAAGTTCTACATCCACGCCTGAGAGCAGAAATGCACGCACACGGTGAAATTAACTTGTGCCTACGCCAGCTTTTACTCCTCCTTATTGTCCCTAAAATTAGATTTCGCATCACTATTTCATCATCGCATCACTATTTATTTCGCGTTACTATTTCAAAATAATCACTATTTCAAAGGCACACGGACTACAGCCGAGCTCTTGGCAGCAGGTCGACAGCAACGAGCGATTGGCATAGATAAATCGAACATGACTTTCTTTCCACACTAAAAACTATCATTGCGATACGATAAAACAATCCTTCGCGGCCGACAACAAAGTTGCTTTGTTCCGCGACACATGATACTTAGGGGCGCCATGGGCCCAACGTGGCAGGCCCATGTGAGGCATTAGGAGAGGGGTGCGTGTGAAGGGAGGCGCTGTGAGGACAGGTGAGGCGCTGTGAGGATCGCCTTAATTAGCAGCTGACTAGTTCACCTTAATTAGCAGCTGATTAGTTCACCTTAATTAGCAGCAGATTAGTTCGCCTTAATTAGCAGCTGATTAGTTCACCTTAATTAGCAGCTGATTAGTTCACCTTAATTAGCAGCTGATTAGTTCACCTTAATTAGCAGCTGATTAGTTCACCTTAATTAGCAGCTGTCCAGACGCAGTGTGCGGGTAGAAGTAGGCGTACACTAGCCAGCCCACGATGCACACTAGCAGGCACACCAGGATGGCCACCGTCACGCCTGTGCCCACCCCGCTGCCGGGCTGCTCTTCTTCACCTCCATCTTATAACAAACAAAAATTGTAGTCATATTCCGAGGGCAATTAAACACATTATTTACCCTTAACCACTCAATTTAAACACTTTATTCACCCTCACTTAATTAACACGATTAACCACTTTTTTGGAGCTGCATTCAAAATAAGTTCAATATTACCCCGATAAAATACTATAGGGTAAAATTTGTGCTCTTCGGATCGACACTCAATTTACAACGTTAACTTTCTATACTAATTTTACATCTGAAATTCCAGAATCTTTACAGGATAAATACCTAGTTTAGAAGAACTCATATTTACTTGGATATAATAGGAGAAGAATACTTCCGATTATTTAAAAATTAATGTTTCAATTTAACATCCGATAAATGAAATTTCAAAGAGCATTGCGACAAAGCAGATAAATATTTTTATTCATGTCAATTGACATGGATCACATGATTAGAAATGTATCCCGTAAGCAACGACTTATACATTCATACAGAAAGAGAAGCAACGACCTTCTCTTTCTGTATGACTGCGACACCCACACACACACACACACGAGCAATACATACAATACATACATTTGTATTTTACGAGATACACTAACATGTTTACTTTATAAAACATGCTAAACACACATGTGTAGGTACTCTACAATATATGATATTCACAGCCATTTACTGTACGAAAAACCCCACAGCGATACTTTAAAAAGCATGTTAGCTAAACAGATGAAGACTTTATAGAGTAATTCTGAAGCACACATTAATGCTATTTAGGACACGCTAATCACCACACAAATTAATCACCTCACATAAGTAATTTCTAGGAAATGTTAATCACAACACATGGATCGCTAATAATAATCATGTTAATAGCAACCCATGGAAAGTTTTAAATACATGCTCCCCGCACATGAATTGTTTCTGTGCCATGTCAATCAAACATGGAGACTCTTCAATGGATGCACAAAATATTTCGAACTTCTTCCAAAGAGAAAAAATCAACAAGTTTGTAAAATGATTTGTTCTACTGTCGTCCTAACGCCGTTTGCAGAATTTAGGATCCAAGATGAGGCACAAAAAAGCATAAATGACATATTCAAGAAATTAAAAAGATCGGCCTTATCAATCTGATTATTCAAAACGACAACTGCTCAAATAAGAATACATAACAATAAAAATCATATAAAAAATAGCACGAATACAAAACATTAACATTAAAAGAAGGTAAAAAAACTCAGCAATTTCTCCAAAAATCAGGACACTTGATGCATTCAAACAAATGAAACAATAAAAAACTTACGGGTATGATTATTGTAATTAGGCAATATTGTTGCTCATTCTAAGGGCCTTTGTAATTTGTGAAGAAAATAGTCATAACTGTTTTAAATAGGGAATAAATAATAAAGTTTATAACAAATAAAATGGAATACAAAAAGGATGCATCCAAACGCCAGAGCATTTGCTCTGAAGTGAGGAGTGGTGTGATTATTTGCTCTGAAGTGAGGAGTGGTGCGAGCATTTGCTCTGAAGTGAGGAGTGGTGCGAGCATTTGCTCTGAAGTGAGAAGTGGTTCAACAAATGATCAAATAACGCACAGTAAAGTGCCCAAGGTAAGGTCACTGAAACGTCTACATTTATAGCGTCATAGCACGACTCGTTTAGAGATAAGAATGTAAGAATTACAAACTGGGGAGAAAATTATGTCTAAAGGACAAATAAATAGCAGTGCTCGGTAACACACTAACACTACATTATAAACTACTTCACAAGGCTCTACTGGCGTGTTGTCAATTTAGCTCACTCGGAGAAGCAGTACTCGCCAGGCAAATGACGTTAAAATAACGTCGATTACGAGTTTAATTTGATAAAACAGCGTATAATCAGCGTTATTTCAACACGAGATGCCTGGTGAGGTAGAAAGACATGCACATAAGGCAACCACACGGTAAGAGACGAGTTTATTTTGTTTATATTGCGTCCAATCAACATTATACAGTCAGATGCTAGGTGAGGTATAGAGGCGAGAACATAAGGCAACCACACGGTAATACCTGTCACCATCTTGGCCTCGAGCTTGTCTGCTGTAGACGCGGCCGTCGCTTTCACGTCTTCATCGGGAGCTGTTAAGTCGTCACGCATGACACAAATGCAACGCGATTATTACGTGTCATTGATGTAATCGTCCCAAATAATTCCATTACAAAATAAATAATGTTATTGAAAAGTTCAAATAAGGCTTTAATTGCCATCAACGACTAAGAGAGCGACGGATTCATGCAATAACTATTTATAACAAGGAAGCCTACAAAATCACTTTCACATCTGCCCAAATTTGATCTGATTGCAAGCGGTTGAGGACTCCAAATCGCTAACAAACTTGAAACTTTTCTAAAATTTCCTACATTGCACTGAATAAAAAGGCGAGTGTCCACATTATACTATGCCATTTATGCAAGTTTTATCAAATTTTGGAGCGTTAACATAGACTAAACCTGAACAGATGACCGTAAATATGTAAGAAACCTCTTTGAAGTCATCACACTGAAAGCAGCTCTAGCCACGGAAAGACAAGTTTAATGGGAAGTCCGAGTCATAGAACTGTGATGAAGCAGATTTCAATGAAAAAATTAATTCACTTAGGACCATATCCTGAAGATACTTCAGTACACAATAAAGATACAGAAGGACTTTAGGTGGCCTAGTAAGTCGAATCTTTTACGTCCCGCTGATATCTTGCATCAGCTAAGATTTTAACACGAAAGAACATAAATGGAAAGAGTATACAGAGACAATTTTGAATATATTTCTGTGACAGTAACATATTCAGATGATAATAAGATTGTTATATTAGATTGCTCCAATTAAAACTCATTCACAAATTTATAGTGATATTCAACAACAATACAAAAAGTCAAACAAAGAGATAGAAAACAAACTAAAAACCTACGGTTTCTTCGCCGTTAAAAACGTCAATTACATTTTCCCTTTTTTCTGTACTGAGCCTAAAATCCTATTGAAAATCGTACCTGCGGCACAAAATTTTAACTGAGACAAAGCAAATATAGCAGAGAAACGGATTCATTAAATGAATTGCTGCCTCGTGTCATTTTCGGCAGTCTACGGTAAATCCTTCTGTTTTATTGACCATTACACCAATGTAATGGTATTGAATTGACTTTCTATAGTACGGTATTGACTCTCACTTGTGGACAAGACTAATAAATATAGTATGACGGCCCGACGGGATACAAATTTCGTGATTTTTTTTGTTTCTGTTTAGATTAGTGACTATAGTTGATGGTTGGCAACATTTATTTTATGACTGAAATATGGAATTTCATTTGAGTGTGATATTTTGTTAGCTCTAGGATATAATTTCTGTATACCTAAGAAATGCGTAGGCATATTTCTATTTCGTGATTGTAGCAAGGAATCTCCTTTGCTGTCATAGTATCTATCGGTAGCGTTGCGTTGCAATCGTCTGCTATAGGCACCACGCGTCGTCTGCTAGCCTCACCACTTTTAAACTTATTACTTTGATATGTTAATTATTACTTGACCTAGGATTTATTCGCTTTAATGTGCGATTATTTTGTCAAACGACTTTGTTTCTATTGTGATGATCGTTATGATTCACAGTTTGTATGTAAATAAATGCTGTCAATCTACGATACCATCGTTATAAAGTAAAGACGGCTACGTCGCCATCTTGCATGAGCAGGCTGGACTAGTGGTAGATGTTCTGTAAGAAGTCGATTGATTATAACTTGTAGTCATGTAGTCAAAAGGGCAAACTCTTTATTACTGCGATTGTATCATGTGATAGTACTTCTCATTGCATTTGATAACGCTTTTACTTAATGTTCAGTTTTCTAGGAGAATTGCTCGACTCGTGCACTCGCGAGTTAGTTATCTTCGAGAGTTATTCTATCATATATCAACTTTCAGTCATCATTATGTGACCAAAGGATTATATTATAATTCTATTTTATTGTAATATACTATATTACCTATTTTCTGCATATAAACGATTTTATTGCTGTTGGACAGTAAAAATCGGGGGGCACCCCGGGTTTTACCCCACTTTTTTCGCGAATTTATATTGGTATCATGCCAACTAAGACTCGTATATTAGGAATCGCTGCAATGGGATGTGCGATTTCAGTTTTTCGCTCATATTTCGGCAACACCTGCTCCAATTTTGTTCAAACTTTTTCCACTGCCTTTTCACATATTTGGTCCAACCTTTTAAGTAGGTTTCGAGCAGAACAAAATTTTTCATTTAAAAAATGATGTGTAAACTAAAAATTTAGTGGATTTTTTTTTTTCAAAAATCGCAGTCTCGAGCCATATCTTTTTTCTGGCGAGTACGTTTTTGATTAAACTTTGTACACCTATGGTCTGATTCATGACGAACATTTTGATGTATGATTTACAAAAAATTCTAATTTCTACGGCATGAAATTTTCGTTTTCGAAATTGATGAAATGTCATCGAAAACAACAGTTTTAATCTATATCTCAGCTTATATGTTTCACGATCATGTTCAAACTTAACATACGTTTACTCACAAGTGATATCTTTATACTGATGTGGGTTTTGTTTTTGGGATATTGATATTTTCAGAAAAAATAATTGTCAACGTTGCGTTTTTTAAGTTTCTTCAAATTCCTAATTTCGACATAACTTCTGAATGAGGCATCGTATCTGATTCGAGTTTTTGCTAACGCTTTACCACATTAAAAGCTACGCGACCATGGGTAGTACACGTTACAGCTCCTCCTAAAGCGGCTGCAATTTGTCGATGAGAATGACATGCTGTGAGTTTCCGCGTTCCGCGAGATCTATCGCTATACGGTTCCGAAAATCGTTCATCGTATTATTCCTGTATACATGGTAATTAGCGTAGACTTCTGATGCATCCTTTGGAGTGTTAATCTATTCTCAGCTCCCATTTTACTCTGAGATAGAACGGTTTAAGCAAAAGTGATTGAGATTTTCTGTACTAGGATCGAATTTTTGATCAGAAATGGTCCTAGTATGGGTAATCTTGTTGCTTAAGAGGAGCGTCTACCCTAAAATTTTGGATTTTTGGCTTTTCCGGTTTTTAGTCTAATCTTAAAGCTGACATTCTGACATCTAACAGTACCAAAACCATCTCTGTACGTTAATTTATGCGTTCACGACATATCGCGAAAGGGTTAGGGGTGGAGGAGTTCTTTAAAAATTTAAGATAGGCCGAAATTACCGGCAGTCCACTTAAATAGCTAGTCTGAATACGCTGTGCTTCAGTTATCCGCATGCAGTCGTACGGGATAGTTCTCGTGCTGTCGTTCGCACCATCCTGGACAGAAATAGAGCTCCAGTATAGTCTAGTCTTGTAACCTTGCACTCTTTGAATGTCTATTTCGAGGCGCGTACGTGCGACTTTGTCGGGCTCTACTGAAAAGTTAACTTATTGTTACTGCAAACCTATCTCCTCCTAGAGTTTTGAAGCTACAACAATGAGACATATATCATCGATTCGCAAATAAAAAATCTACAGAGTTGTGTAGGCGTTTTTCTAATTTCGTTATAGTTTGGATTTCATTAAGTAAAAAGTGGGAAAAAAATCGAAAAATTTCCGAAAAATGGCCCCCACCCACAAAAATTAGAATTTCAAAAAAACGCCTAGAGTTTTGTAGCTATGGTCACTACGCATCGAATGATATGCGTCTCGATGACGTAGCTTGAAAATCCTAGGAGGAGACAGATTTCTACGGTATCCATTTTTTGGCCGTTTTCTAATAATTTCACATTTTCTTTCATTTATTTCGAAAAATTAACATGAACAAAGAGCTTTTCTATTTTACATGAGTGTACCAAGTTTCAGAGTGATCCGTCAGTAAATAGCCGAGATGAATTTTAGGGTTGACGCTCACCTTACATTACGGTATATCTTACTTCATTGTGACTCCGATTACGTCAATATCTTTCAATAAATGTCTCCCGTAACTTGTTTTTTTGCCCTATTTCATATTTTTTCGGGGTTACCTGGTGTTGTGTTCGATGATGTCAATTCAGGTGTATCTCACTCCATTGTGACTCCGATGACGTCAATATTTAGAATGAATTGTTTCATGTAGCTCGTTTTTTTGCCCAATTTTCTAACTTTTTCCGGGTATACGGTGTTGCGTTCAATTTTTAATCATCTTCGGACTCTGTAATCTAGGTGCTTCATTGAATCTGATGAAGCTTCATCCACAACCCGCTGCGGCTCAGTCTTTCGTGCCCAAGCACGAATGACTGAGCCGCCTCTCCCGCGGATGCCGCGGGTTCGTCCGCGGACGCGGTGGGACCCTTCCGGGTCCCTTTCGGGTCACTACCGCTGTCGAATGAGACTTGCCAGGTTAACGACGGCTTAGATTTAGGACGTCAGATTATTTTAATGAATTTAATGACTGAGGACTTCTGCTGCAGCCCAGACATAGCTAATGGAATCTTGGGTTAGGTGAGGAGTGCCAAGTTACGTATTATTTTTTAAAGAAGGGCCATATGGTAATAGAACCTGAGATTGGGTTAAGGACTGCAGGCGTTTTCCTTTTAAGGATGAACGTGCTCTTGGACATAATTGTGTCAACCTCGACAAACTATCTGAGGGGAACTAAGGCTAGGTTAAGTCGACTCCAGGTTGTTTTTATAATGAAAATCTGACCCTCTTACACGCAGTTTTACGTTGGGTCCCTGACGCAAAGTCCCATCTTTTTTATAGACGCTGTTGCATCGTGAGATGTAAAATGATAGGATTATATTATTGGTATTGATGTTAATAAATGGGGGTCTTAGGTACTTCTGGTTAGCCCATTTCTTGTACATTGTAAACGGGGTGTTGAAGTAAGCTCATCTTACTCGAGTTATTTCTCGCGAATGAACCTTGTGTTCTCAGTATGACTGGGTGGGGGTCCAAACATTTCGAATCAAATTCAGATAGCCAGATCTTTGCTTCGAAGACTCTACCGAAGTTCTGGACATATATCGTAGAGATCCACTAGCGAACTAATTACGGCATAGGTGGAGTTCTTGGCAAGTCCTAGCTGTTGGCTGCGTTTCGGGCGGTTAATAATCGTATCATTCGCACCCTTATGTCGTAGAGGCTTATAACCTCTGCGATCGAGTAAATTGTCAGCGGCTTATTGGGGGCTCATACCCCTCGACAGTCGTGCCTTTGGGGCGTAACTGCCATCTCGTTTTTGTGTCTCTCAGCGGTGTATTAGGGGCTTGTACCCCTGATCATTGCATTAGTTGTCAGCATCGTGGTGCAGCTCGTACCTGTACCTTAGCTGCCCGTCACGATAGAATGGTAGTAACGTTTTCAACCGGTGATAATTAGCTTATCTAAGTTGTGGTTATGGCTATCAATAGTAGAAGAGTATCACTGTTTACAATGTCACAAGGTGCGAGCCTCACTTGTGGTGATTGCTTGTGTGCTGGGAGGGGCAGCTTGCACCTCAGATGGGCTGACCACAGCGCGCTGAGGGGAGCACAGCTCGGGGTGCTCTGAGTTGAAGAAATCGCAGCGGCTGAGCAGCCAGTCTTGCCGGTGCCTGTCCATGCCGTCGCTGCAACGGCCCACCTTCTCGCACCACCGGCACTGTCAACAGTCGACAGTTAATACAGTGTCAACACACAACAGTTAATACAGTGTCAACATACAACAGTTAATACAGTGTCAACACACAACAGTTAATAGTGTCAACACACAACAGTTAATACAGTACCAACATACAACAGTTAATACAGTGCCAACACACAGCAGTTAATACAGTGCCAACACACAGCAGTTAATACAGTGCCAACACACAGCAGTTAATACAGTGCCAACACACAGCAGTTAATACAGTGCCAACACACAGCAGTTAATACAGTGCCAACACACAGCAGTTAATACAGTGCCAACACACAGCAGTNCAGCAGTTAGCAGTGTTAACACACAACAGTTAATACAGAGCCAACACACAGCAGTTAGCAGTGTTAACACACAACAGTTAATACAGTGTCAACACACAAGTTAATACAGTGCCAACGCACAGCAGTGAACAGTGTCAACACACAACAGACTCAGGCAGTTCCCTGGCACAATATAAATCTGGTCAGAAGCTCAAGTGTACGGGAGCATTCATTCATCACGATCTTGCTGCGGTGACAAGAACCTGGGCACCAGAAACCTTAACTGCACATCGAGTCACAGGTAATAGCTCCTGCATATAGGTTATTATTGCAGTAAACACAAGACTAGAGAATGCTTTACAATGTTCATGGATATTTAACCTGAAATGTTGAGTTTTGAGTTACGCAGGAGTAGCAATCGTGGAAGGAGACACAGGTTGGCAAAGCCTTGAACACAATTGCAGTCCAGTTTGAAATTTTTTCAGGCTTCTTCATGTCTATTTTGTGGTACTCGTAGATAGTTTTGCGGCGCACATCTGTAAATAAATAAATATATAAGATTTGTAAATAAATGAAAATATAAGCTTTGATGATACTTTGAAGATGCTAAGAAAACCCAAGAGATCACCTACAAAAGAATTCAAGAAAGAGCTTTCACAGTATGATTTGGAAACCTATCACCTAGAAAGGGATCACATTATCATTAATATATCTTCTTATTGATTAGGATACGATATTCTAAAGTAGCATTGGATTTGTCATTGGACTTGTTGCACAGGCAATTTTCTGTCAAAAAAAGCCAACTTGGCGCTGCAACGACACGTACAGAAGATGGTCTTGTGCACGATGTATGCGTCCGAGAGGCCGACTTTGACGGGATGTTGGTCGTCGGCAATTTGGTCCACAGGAATCGGAACGTCCTTGTACGAAAAAACAATGTCGCCGCTTGCATGGATTGTAACCTGCAACCCAAGTGATTACCGTTAGTGGTGAAACTAAAAAAAAGTGATGGTAGGTTAGCCGGAATCTTAGTGAAGATACAGCGCAATTCATGTTATCTGTACACTGAATAAAATCACCGAGGTAATTTTGGTGAACCTGATGAAAATTTTAATGGAAAAAAACAACTTGCTTACCTGGAAAGTGAAGGAACCTCCATCCAGTCTCTCTTTGAGCTTCACGTTCTCCCACTGCACCGTCAGCGCCGTCTCTGTCACGACATTCATGTGAAGTTAAGTAAAAAGAACTAAAAGTAAAAGCACTGAGCACTGAAATTACCTCGACTTCAGAGCCATCACAGCAATGACTGTGCTAATAATTGTTTTCGTTGAGCAAGATATATCATTTTACAGGACTTCGGGCACAAGGTAGACAGGTGCCATCTTACTACCAACACAAATGTATGTTTATTACCATTCATAACGTGCCTGACTAGGTGCATCACAACAAAGATGTTTATCTTCATGCATTACATATCAGTGAACGATGCGCACTAGGTTTACACATAGTAAACCTAGGTTACACAACTAGGTTACACTTAGTAGTAAATTAACACGTAGGTTTGTGTTCATTACCGTTCTTAACGTATTTGACTTTGCTGTCATCAGACGCGGAGGTATCAAAGTTAGCCATGAGGGGAGCGATGTACTGCGTGGCGGCGAGCCACGTATGCACCAAGTCCCCCGTGTACAAGAATCCTCCCGTCGCTATTGTGATGTTGTTCAGAACGTGGCCGTAGAAGGGGAATGAGAACGGCAGCATCAATGTCTGTAAAAGCACGTGCAAGAAACGGAGAATTAGTTACTACGTTATTATTTGCTAAGCGATAGGAAATGGCAACTCGGTATCCACACAAGGCAAGGAAAGTTCAATAGATTCAGCTGAGTGCCGAGTTTGAGTTAGGCTGTTTGCTGCTGGACAAGTAATGTCTCCAAATAATCTACGAGCTAATAAGGAATAAATTCAAAATTATTCCTTACACAAAACCGAGTTAAATGTGAACAATAAGCGTACTCCAGTTAATGAATAATATGGAATAAAGTAAATATTTTAGTTGCTCGTTCAGCTGCGTGGTTCCCTCACTACGGTTCATTTCTGGCTCATTTGAAATTGAATAAGATTCATGCATATGAAATATTTCTAAAACATACTCGCACTTTACACTAATTACTTTATTAAATTTCAGCTACCTATTCATAAAACTCTTTTCAAAGATACCGAGATATAACCTGATATAACCTGATGTGGGCAAATTACGATTTTCTTAAAAAGTACAGAGCGAAGTTGTATAGAATTATGAGCAATGAAATGAACAAAACATTTTTAATGCTTGGTTCATTAAATGAAAGAACCAATTTTAATGCTTGGTTTAGTAGAATAAAACAGAAGTATTAGTGAGAATACACACGTACAAAGGCTTGTCGATGAGCACTGGAGAGCAGGTCGCTCTCAGACGCATTCTCCAGTTTCTCCAAGTTGACCCAGAGGTGATCCTTCACTTCCTGGCCAGAGAAGGCGAATGAGTTGTAGTATCTGCAAGAACAAGACAATCAGTATAAGAGTAATTCACAAACCTCCATTCAAACCATTCATGTCATACTAATTACCAAGCATTCTAAGGCTGTGAGATAAGACTTTTGGTGAATAAGGGTTATTCAATTTAAATTCAACCCGAGAATTTGTTCGTTTACAAGCATAACAGTTAGCATTTCCAAACGACGGTTGAAACTGAAATTCAAGTGAAGATTCTAAGAGGCCCATGTTATGAACTTCCAATCCTTGCCTGTGATGGTCAGGGGCTGCAGTGTTGTTGGTGACATAGCCGTCCATGAGTAACGGAGTGTCATCATCTTTAGCCAAATCATCGGTGAGATTCAGCGCCGGGGCACTTGAGGAGGCCTGAATCAACATTACAGTATGCATTATACAACTATCATCAATGATTAAAATTTCCATTAGATTTCAACCCTGGAACCTTCACAAGCAGAAGCAACTGATCCATGGATTAGTTCATTTTAAACTTAGAGTGCACTTTTTTAATTTTGAATGCAAGTAATAAAGTTTTGAGATGCCTCTTTTATACTAAATTAACATATAAATTACTGATCACCTGAATATAATTTACGACTCAGTTGTTATCCATTGCTTTTTGGTGGAAATTTCAACCTAATTTGGCGTTAGTGGCTGTGGCTGTAGTTATTTACCTCTCTAACCCAAGTAAGTGGGACCTAAATTTTTTTCATTGCTTCACAAAGCCAAAGAAATTTTTTATACTTAATTACTCCAGAGACCATTGATAAAAACATGTAATATTGCTTTGACATAAACAGTTTAAGGCACAGAAAATAAATGATGCCACAAAATAGAGAAGGCAATATAGAAGAAGCGGCAAAATGAAAATTTTACAGCATGCTATCAACTAAAGAAATTAACAAATTAAAAAAAAGTATAAGAAATATTTAGCAGCAAAACACTTAAAGCAAGCAATTACATACCTAGATCCATTAACTTGAAAGCAGCCAAGTACATAACTCAATTGTTTTGAATCACAAATAGGTAAATTCACAGGAATAAAAAGGTAAAGCATAAGCAGAAATTGCATACATCAAAACAGACAAAACTTGAGAATTAAAATTTCTGAACAATAATCATAGGGCAAGATCTGAGTTCAACAATTACTATATCATGATAGGCAGCCACAGATGAACTAACTCATAGTGAGGAGATGAGCCTCAAAAATAAAATTCTCATGAATTCAATCTCCAGCAGTGATACGTAGATTCAAAAGCATGCAACATAACTAAAATGTAAGCACAATCATCTAAATTCAAACAAAATAATTGACTAAATAAATCAATTAAGATATCTTCATATCATGAGTAGTACACAATATAAATTCCTCGTTACTGCAATAAATTAAAATGATGAAGTAGTAGCCAAGGTAAGATGTGCAACACTAGTTTCTTGAGAAATCCCCAGGCACGCACCCCACTGACAACAGCGGCAGCTGCAGACGTTTGAGCAGAAACAGGAGTGCTGGCCACAGCAGATGTCACTGATCCAACAGTTGGACTAGGAACAACTGAAGCATCTGCAGTCAAGTTAGCTGACTGGTCATCATCAGGTTTGATGGGAGGTTTTTCACCAGGTTTACCAAGAGGTTTCTTCTCACCCTTCCCATATTTGTCATACTTGGATGGCTTGGTGACTTCAGAATATGGCAGCTTGGTATCAGGAAACTTATCTACAACTTCCTTTTTAGGAAAAATAGTTGTCTCCTGCAAAGAAGTCAGTAGAAATTTAGGAAAACTAACTTGATATTTAAAATCAGGAGATCCAGCAGTGTCCAGATGTGACAGGAGCTACAAGGCAACTGTATAAACAAGTACAACAATTTACTTACCGGTAGCAATTTACAGGATCACCAGAGGCCCATTTGAACAATAAGAATGTTGCCAATTAATTTCATTTAAGACCATCATGTATGTTTCTAAATCATTGTAGTCATAATAGCAGTAAATATGCAAAGCACAAACACAAAGCCTGACATCACAAAAACAACATCAAATGTAACATCATTTTAATTTTTAATCTCAGACACCAAGGGCAGAGGAAATAATAAAAATTTTAAGGCAGCAGAACAAATGCCCATCAACACAGAATGAAGCATTATATATAAATATATGTTTATATAATCACTCCTACCAAGCCCCAGTAAAACATATAAGATAACCACGCTAATTGAGCAGATGCCTTGAGAAAAGTTTAATACCATACCTCATAATATTTAACATGAATACATGGCATTAAATGAAATAATCTTCATTTTCAAAAGCCATGACCGAAACTAAGATTTAATAGCAATTTCGTAGTAGGATCTTAAAATGAAAATAAAATTGTTCAAAGTACAGCATAGCCCATTATTGGATCAATGTAAAAAATGGTTATGTAAAGATTGCATAAGTGCTTAAAACAAAAAAGTTAATGATCTATGAACATTTCTGTTTTTTAAAGATTGAATCTAGTTTGTCATTGTCTTAGGATGTACAATAGTCTTGGGATGTAATCAGAAAAACTTGATGTAAAAGATCGAAGGTATTTTTAAATGATCAAAAGAAATATCAGGCATAAAAATATAAAACTTTCTACAATATTAATAAAAATTTCAATACCTACCTTATCCAAAGTTGGATCTGTGCTTGAATCAGCAGCTGCATTGTTGCTGGAGGCAACATCACGCTGTTTACGGATGTTCAGGGATACTTGGGAAGATAATAAGGATGCTCCAGGAAATGAATACTTGAAGTAATCTGTAATTCAAGAAAATATCAACACCCATAGTGGTTCATTGTAGCAAATAATTATATTTCTTGTATTGAGAACAAAAGAAAGTGTACCTAAATGGAATAAATTACACATAAAAATAATACATACCGTAATATTGATGGCATTACTTCAAGTTTGTAGGCAACTTTTTCTTGTTATGACATGCTTTTCATGGGAAGCTTGGATATACATTGTGTCTCAAAGTGTATATATACATGACTACTAGAGTACCAGATAGTATATTTGTGTATATTATATTTGTGTATATTTATCTACACTGGAAATTTAATTTAGTTGTGGGTTGTCGATGGTCATCCACCTAAATTAATATCACTAAAATCTTTTGGCTCCAAAGTGATATATTTTAAATGAATTTGAAATCTCAAAACTTTATTTTAAGCTCTTTGTGACAATTAGATAGGGAATAAATTACTTTCCTAGCATGAAACTTGCAGCTAAAAAGAAGAGGGTAGGATCAGCTGAGGCCCAGACAGTAGATATATTCCACACTTGTATCCAAGATGCAATGGACAAGTCGGTTATTTTGATGTTCTATTGTGATCTGCATTCCATTGTTGTCTACTGAACTTACCAATAAAAAAAAACACACTAAATATGTTTCAATGCATGTTTGAGATTGAATGTAGTTGTAGGAAGACCCATATTCATTACTCAGCAAGGAAGCAGGAGTTTCCTGCTAAGGGGTCTTTACAAACTCCCTCCCATGTCCTGCAGTACAATTTGATTGAGTATATATGAACCCCTGGACTTGATATATAATGACTTTAGCTGACTAATCTTATTTTAGTGCAGCAAGATTACTTCAATATTTATGAAGTGCACCCTAAGGCTTATTACATTTCTAATTGATGAATGACTTTTCCAGACAGAGAAAGCAGGTAAATTAATGAATGAACAAGCAACAGAAATGCATAGTCAACTCCCATTGTTAGGGTCTGCATTTAGGCAAATGAATGATTTTATTAAGTGTTTTCATTTAATTCTCTCTTTTTTGTCCCCAGTGTTTGAATGTTAGATTGATTCAGATCAGTGGAATAATAAAGGAATAATAAAACCAGTTAAAAATCGACTAGTTCAGCATTAGTGTTTTGCCAAGTCACCTTCTTCGCGGGTTGTTATTGACTGAGGCAGATTTGCTCTTCTGACCTAGTGCCTTTTTCTGACTAACCTACTGCACCAAATGAACCTGCTTTCTGGTTATGAGGCTATCAAGACTGACCTGTTGCTGAACTGCTGTTAATGCTATTCTTGGTTCTTAATTCACAAGGGCTTAGGAGAGCGTAGATTCAAAAACTTATCCTAAATCTGATGATATGACACAAAGCCTAATTAGCTATCTTGTGAACATTTAAATAGGTAAATCAAGGCAACACTCTTGCCATGCATCTCAGTCCTAAATTTAAATTATTGAATGTTATAAGTAAATATTTGTTTATATTGTCAATCTTCCCTTTAAATTGTTCTAGAGTTTAGTAGTAGGTAGTTCAATGTGTATTTATGCGTTTCAAGTGTATGTATATGTTTCAAGTGTTTTGTTGGATAGGTTTTATGTGTTCTTGTTCCTGCACTTTTGCAGAGCAGCCAATGTGGAGCATATTCTGGGCCAATTTGGGGCGCATTCTGGCTTCCGGGCAAGTCTGGGACCAGTTTGAGACGAGTGTTGGACTTGGCCCAATTTGGAGCAAGTTCTGGACAAGTGACAGGCAAGCTTTGGGCTGACTGAGACACATTGCTGATTAGTCTTGGGCTGCTCTTGAGCTACTCGAGCTGACACCAGAGGCCAGCATGGATGCCCCTTTAAGTACTGTCCAGCAACTCATGTCAGAGCTGCCCAAACGTGCCAGTTGTGTCTACCCCACTGCTACTCACAAGTAAGACCACCGCCGTCTTGTTTCTTTGGCACAGACGCCACTTGATGGACCAGGCCTGCCCCAGAGCCCGTTTTGAGCTCTTTATTCCTTGGTTTCATTATTCTTGACTTGATTTATGCTACTGATCATTATTCAGGCCCAGTTTAGTTTATTTACCATGTATCATTATTTATTCTTTGCTGCTCAAACCAGTTTGGGCTGCTGGCTATTTATGTTCTCATGCAAAGTTCACCTCATCACTCATAGCCCTGGTCTGTCTCATTACTAACCAACTAATTTTCCACCTTTCACCTACATGTACCATTGAGTTTATTTAATACGTGTTTGATGGTTCTTCCTCCGTTTGTTTCCCTGAGTTCGTTTTGCTTGGCTTTGCCTTCACGTGCTGGTATGGTACTATACCGGCCAAACCGTTGACCTTCAGAGGGGCTGACCCCCAACACCATACCTAAGTTTTGCTTATTATTTGTATCTGCTGTCAGGATTGGATACTGAAATCTTGCAGCTCCAAAGTGACTAATTTTCAATACATTTGGAATCCCATGATTTGTCCAAAAACTTGTGTAAAGAATTATATAGAAGGTATCTTGTCTAAAAGAAATCTCTTGGTTCCAAAAATAGTGGGAAAATTCTAGTTGCAGCTGTAGGTACGCGTTTTCCACACAAGTCTGCTGTTGCCTTACCTACTTTAGTAAATTTTAATTGTTTCCTTGCTGCTGAAAATATTTAAAACGTGCAAAATAAACAAATGAATAACTAAAGTGGTGGTATATATATCTTGCTACACTTAAAATAGATTAATCAGCAATAGTCACTAGATATCGAGTAAAATAGTACAGGTCTACTCAATCAAATTGCACTTCAGGAATTGGGAGGGTTTGTAAGTATCCCTTAGAAGGTACCATAAAATGGGGTTACTTTGACTGGCGGGGTAACTTTGACCACTTTTCGTTTTTTCAACAAAAACCCCCAAAACTCACAAACGATTTGACATAGAAAAATTTTGTCAATGGCCATCAAAGGCCTAATACTGAGGCTACATAACACAATAGAAAGATTCAAAAAGTTTGCATATCTAATAGGTTAAAAAATTAATAATGTGACCCACAAAAAAGAGCTATTATTCAAAGCCTGTCGGAGTACCCCCTCCAATTTTTTTAGTTTTTGGTAAAATAACTCCAGGTTTTGATGCATTGTAGTAGAACTCTTCTAATTACATATGCAAATGACAAATTTTAGGAAAGTGTCATAGTTTGCACATGGGGGAACTTTGACCACCTAATGGCAGCCGTGATGGGGTAACATTGACCGGCTTGGAAATTGAGTTAAAATTACCATAGGTACCTATATAACCTATTTTATGTTTGATACACCCATTAATGTTTTTTTCTTTATGTTTCAGACTCTACAGTGTCTTATATATGGTCATTTAAACTTAATTTCCAAACCGGTCAATGTTACCCCATCACGGCTGCCTTTAGGTGGTCACATTTCGCCCATTGGGTGGCAGCGCCCCCCATTTGCAAACTATGACACTTTCCTAAAATTTGTCTTTTGCATATGTAACTAGAAGAGTTCTACTACAATGCACCACAACCTGGAGTTATTTGGAGTTATTTTACCAAAAAATAAAATTGATTTTACCACCCGGTCAAAGAAACCCCAAGAGCTGGGGTAACAAAGACCATCCCTTTTTTTTAAATTACATCAAAACTATGAGAGGCAGGAGCCAGCAATTTATGGCGAGTGAAGCTAGAGTATAGACCTGTATTTTGCAGGTTTCAATTTAAGTTTAACTTATCTAGTAAAAAATGGCATCATTTAAAAAAAAAAAGTGGTCAAAGTTACCCCATTTTACGGTAACTCCCGTTCACTTAGAGGTAATAAAAATGGGTCTCCCAACAACATTATCATTTATTAAATTAGTCTCATATTCAAAAAGTGGCATTAATGGTGGCTGCTGTCATTTAATTATTCCTAAGCAATAGAAAATTCATGGTGACATTTTGAGGTAAAAATAAAAGAACTTGGTGTTTTAGAATATTAGAAAAACCCAAGTTGGTCATGATCTAGGGATGGCACATGCCCATAACCTGGCAAGGGATACATCTGACTTATGAGACGCAACTAGAGCTTTCCACCATTTTTGGAGCCACAAGATTGCTGCTAGATAAATTACCTCCTATCTAATTGCTAACGTAGTGCACAGTTGGGCAGCAAGATTCAAAATGTACAAAAAATATTACTCAGTACTCACTGCAGTGAGTGACAGAGAGCACAATTTCTCATTGCCAAAAACTTGAGGTCACAGATGGATGGACAGACGGACATGGCAAGCACAATAGTGCATTTTTTCCATAAATGAGAAAATGCGCTAAAAATCATAGCTTTGGAGCTGCAAGATTTCATTCATAAGCAGGAAAATTCCAATGCTGCCATAACCTGGTATGGAATATTTCTACTTTTAGAGCCTTCACTTTAGCTCTCTTGCCATGTTAGAGCCAATATTTTCTAACTAGATGAATTATATCCATTACATTATCAATGATATCAACTTACATCATTAACATCTTTAATGATATCCACCATGTCATGACACTTACATTGTTGGCCTTCATATTAAACTATCAGTTTGTTAGCAAAACTAAGCCAAAAATTTCTAGCACAATGAGATAAGCTCTTTATTTATGTGGTAACCAAACCCTACAAATTGTAATTCAGACCTGTAACAAAATTTTATTAACAAGCCTTGTCTACAGTCAATGCCAATAAAGACACCACCTCACTAAAGTCGCCATGCTACAGGGAAAAAGAAATATTTCTTAAAAGGCACCCAGTATGAACATTTCGTTTTAGGAAAATACTAGAACATTCATTATTTCTAAAAGAAAGTATATATAATGCATTTCTGACAATTTGTAAAAAGTTTTGAGAGTCCAAATCAACATGACGAAAATTTATTAAGCAAAACCAAATTTTTCCTTCAGCTGTATGAACTGCATTTGGGCAACACTCTATTGCTAGGAAAATGTTTTCCTTTGAACCTTGGGTCATACCTAAGTGAAATGCAGTAAAATGAAGATCATTTTGCTTGTACTCCTGATTTTACTGATACAGAAATTTATTTTATACTCTATTATAAACATACCTGGTGACTTATGTGTTAATAATTTTGGGAGAAATGGCAAAGTTTGTATTGGATATTTGCTTTAAGAGGCAGGATTTAAAGATAAATATTTACTCCTTTTTAATACCTACAATCAATAATTCATAATTGTGTCTAAGTTAGGTCTTAAATGATGTAAGAAGCCTTCACCACCCATATTCACTCTCAGATAATTAGCAATTAGACTTTTAAACCTTGTAAAATGACTTCAAATGTTGAGCATGATGCTCCTGCAATGATTAGAGTTGCATAAACAGAAATTCAAGCATAAGGCAGCTGCTCTGCATGCATTTTGAATAGACAAGACCCTAGTTGTCTTTCTACTAAATAAGCTTAAAGAGGCAAACTACCCAGTTAAATCTCTTATAATAATACTTAATGATAGAAAATACTCAAAAAATAAATAATACTAGAGTATTTATGATAATAATACTAATGATTATATTACTCAAAAAGATAAAACCTATTTTGTATGATATTACTATATATTATGTGTTATGTAATTACAATATATGCATTTGTTCAAGTATGTATCTTAATATAATTATTTTGCAAATGAGCAAAGTCAAGATTATGGAGGCAGGAAGACATGGATAGGGCTCTTGCCACCTGCAGAGATGAGAAAAAATTAAAAAATTTTTAATTAAGCTCATTTCAAACTGTGTCGTATTCCGATACAGCTCACACAGGGCGTCGAAATTCCAACACAGGGCATCGGAATTATGAATTAGTAAGAGTTTTAAGCGCTGTCAGAATTAGTCTACCTCTAACAATATGCCAAATTTAGTCACACACACTGTCAGAATTCAGGGATTTTGTAGATTTGAATTCTAAAGGCTATTAAATAAATATGGCAACAGTTTGTGACATTTCATTGTTGCTGGCGCATAGTGTGGTGTTTTGAGAATGACGTAAAGCAATCGGAACTCAAGTTGCGCATATGGTTATCATTTTATAGCCATTCATTTCTTGGTACGTCCTTAATGTGTCGGAATATGGTGCGTTTACCCTATTGATGGTAATTCCAACAAAGAAAAGAAAATGATCAAATTTTGTTCATATTAAAATGAATTAGGGCCTACCATCATATTTATTTCTTAAAAATAGTAGTTTGAAAATTTGCTGTTTCATTTCCTATTTTCCCTGCCTTAAATTCAGGATCTTTCTAACTCAAATTAAAACTTTTGAGGAGTCATGACTCATGAGTAAAAATCCTACAATGATCAACCTTAAATATTTCAAATTTGGAACTTTAATTCTTATATAATAATATAAACCTTGCATATACAAATCAATTATAGATATTAAGATATATATATTTTTCACAAAGCAATACTGCTATAGTCTGATGATAGGCCTAATATAGTTTGTCTGATATTTCTATGGTAAGAACCTTTAGAACCACAACCATTTTCTGCCAAATTAACATGAATCCTCTGTAATCCATGAATCATGAATGATTATATTATTTATATAGATATACTCAGTTATACTGCTCAAAAAACGATAACATAACTGAATAGCAATGATATGTCCTTTACCGCCCCCTTCCTCCAGGCTAAAAGTTTAACAACGAAACTAATCTCATCCCGCAAAAAGTTATCAAGCTAACATCAGACAAGAATTCATGACTCTGGCTGGGTCACTCTGCAATGAATTGAGATAGGCAAATCGGTTTTTCACGTCAGATATCAATTACAATAAATTCTAATAAAAAACGAATGAGTACCTAATAAAAAGTATTTTTACTTACCTGGAGACTCATTATTAGAAGAAAATACGAAGTCTACACATAAGATAAAAGCGAATAAACAGAATACGGTTAGCTTCGCCATGTTGACACCAACAGAAATGACGTCATATCTCGTTACCATGAAGTTCTTGACTACTCTGTGCGAGAGTATTTAAATAGCTTCAGTGCCAGACTCTGGTGGTGTAAATTATTATTGTATAAATCTCATCTAGAAAGTATTGGATAATTTCACTTATAAAAGTTATAAAACGAGAAAATGAACGATGCTTGATGCAAACAAATAATTATTTTTCGAATGATATAGTAAAGTGGATCGGAACTCTGCTTCTAAATCTCCATGAAGTGTATACAAAGCGAAATAATACATCAAATTTCTGTTTGAAAAAACAAAAACAATTATGATATGATTTTGATGTGGTTACAAATTTTGGTTGTTTGCGAATACAGGTTTATGAAAATGTGATTCAAAATACTTCAAATTTTGAATAACAGATGGCGCAGTCTTTCTTCATGCAATACGCAATCTGTTAAAGTCTACCAAAAATTGGGCATTGGTGTTGTTCCTGAATGTGCTGCCAACAGCTGGACCCGAAACGAGTCCAATCTTAGAAAGTCAGTGCGCTGAATAAGTGTAAACATGAATCAGACAGACGATTGAAAGCTGCTAGAGTTGTAAAACGGGAGAAATTCAACACAAAATAAGTCGCTTCTATCAAGCTAAGATTTGGGGGAATAATATGGGTTAAACCACATTTATTGACGTGGAAAATTTGTTGCATCGTTCCCACTTCTCTGATTTTGAACTTATTAGTGTGAAAGCACTTCGTCTAACTTAACTGTACATAAAACTCAACTCTTGTGTTTTTCATGTTCTCTTCAAACTACTAATCAAACTTATCACAGGTATGTGGATTGAACTTTATTATTAAAATGAGGTACATTATATAGTTTGAGCCTTTAACTTTAAGGGGAGCGTCTGCCCCAAAATCGAAAATTTTGACTTTTTCAGTTTTTATAGGTACTCATCTAGTCATCTTAAAGCTTAGGTATATTCTGATGCATCTAACGGTACGGTCGGTACCAAAACCATCTCTGTACATTGATTTATGCGTTTACGACAGCGCGCAAAAGGGTTAGGGGTGGTGGACAGGTGGAGTTCTTCAACATTGAATATAGGCCAAAATTACCGGTACCGGTAGCACACTTAAATAGCTAGTCTGAACACGCTGTGCTCAAGTTATCTGTCTGCAGTCATATGGGATGGTTCTCATGCCGTTGTTCACACCATCCTTGACAGAAATTGAGCTCAAATATTGTCTAGTCTTGTAACCTTGCACCCTTCACCCCATAGTGGCAAAGCAGGGAGTTTTTTAGACACTCCCTCAAGTTCATTTTTGAGTCCTATAAGTAAACCAGTAAAGTATCCTGGATACCAGCTTCATCATACATAAGAAATTGGTTTAAATCTTGGGTAAATGAGGAAATTAAAAATGAACTGATTCTAAAAAATCTCTGGTTTGTCACTATGCTTCACCCTTGAATGTCTTTTTCGAGGCACGTGCGACTTTGTCGGGCCCTACTGAAAAGTTAACTTATTGTCACTGCAAACCTATCTCCTCCTAGAGTTTTAAAGCTATATCAATAAGATATATACCGTTCGATTTGCAAATGAAATATCTACAACTGGAGGGAGGCTTTTTTCCAATTTTGTTATAGTTCAGATTTTATTTTGCAAAAAGGGGGGCGGGCGGGGGTGGAATTGGAAAATTTCGAAGCATTTTGGAAATAATACCCCCACATTCACAAAAATGAGAAATTCAAAAAACCCTTTCCTCCAGTTGTAGATATGATCTTTACTCATTGATTCGCCATCAAATGATCTGTGTCTCAATGTTGTAGCTTGAAAATCCTAGGAGGAGATAGATTTCTACAGTACCCTCTTTTTGGCCATTTTCTAGGAATTTCATGTTTTCTTTCATTTTTTTGAGAAATTCACAGGAGCAAAAGAAAAAAAACAGAATTCCGTGTTACATACGTGGACCAAATTTTGAATCGATCCGTCTGTTGATATCCCAGATCTTTTTTGGGGCAGATGCTCCCCTTAAACTTGTAATTTATGCAGCATATGTATAACTATAACTAGGCTAGGCTAAATTATTTAACTAAATATAACACTAATTGTCTAATGCCACTCAAATTGCCACTAGTCTACTATACCTATGTCACTCAGTCACTGGCTTTCAATACTACAGGCCTGCATGGAATATATCTCCATTCATAGTTCTGGCTCATAGCCTATGTAATGGTTATATGGTAACAAGCTTGGATCCTTGGAAAACATCTAGCTACCTTTAGGGCTGCAACTAGAACTTTCCCACCATTTCCTGAACCACAAGATTTCTGTCAGATGAATTACCTCCTACATAATTGTTAACAAAAGTGCACAATTGGGCTGCGAGATTCCATTTGTATTAAAAATTTGTAATGTTTTAGCCGCAAGATTCCAGAAACAAGTAGACAAATTCCAGTCCTGTATAATAATGGTATGTCACTGACTGTCATGCTGTCACTCACCAGTCACAACCAAAGCTTTCCTGCCATTTTATGTGCAGCCCGATTCCTGCTGTATGAATTACCTACTACCCACCCACTCTGGAATAGTGGACAAAAGTTTTCTAGAATAGCTGGTAGTAATGATTTCATTGGTGATTTTTAGAATTTGTGGTTAAAATAGGCTATTATTTGTATTTTTCACAGAAAAACTTTGGAAAAACTGGGTAAAATTGGCCAGATTTGTGTCTTTTTTTATAATTTGTGGGTAATGGGTATCTTATGCCCAATTTTCTGTTAGGGCTGCTACTATCTAATTGTTATCATAAGTGCATGATTGGGCCTCAAAATTACAAATGTATTGAAAAATAGTTATTTTGAGGCCAAAAGATTTCTTTAATAAGTAGGAAAAATTGAATCTTGCAATACTACATACGGTAGTACAGTAAGTACACACCTTCAATTTCTTGAACAAAAACTCAAACTACAATATTCTTGCTTTATTAAAGCAATGTAATTATTATGTGGAATTCAAACCCTACAAATCCTATTTCTAACCAGTATTATTTTCTTTTAAATGATGACCTACAGATGGCAAGTTAAGGGCTGTACCTTCTGATTGCATTGGCTAATCCAAATTGAGGATTGGAATCTGCCTAGTTATTTCAGAAATCTTGTGTTCCAAAGTGAAAAATTTAAAAAACACACCAAATTTTGTGGCCCAATTGTGCACTTTAATAAACAATTAAGTACATAGAAATGATAGAATGTATATGATATCTATAAGGTACATATATATAATGATTATGGGTTCATGAAAATGGCACAAAAGCTCTGATCATGGCCCAAAAAGTTGATATATTCCATGCCTGTCCCAATTTTTAGCAGTATGTGCGCAAGATCCAATAAAATGTCAACTCCTGTGTCAAGAATGGTAGTATGGTTGCTAGACACACAATGTCTAACAAGTCCACAAGTATATACCGTATGTCAAATGTTGACAACCAGTTTTGGAGCTGTTATTTTGACAGAGCAGAGAATATAGAATAGCAAAAAATAATACAGTGCACTGCATTTAGAGTGTGCTGCCTTTAAAATGTTATACTAATAGTAAATTCACTTGGTTGTTTCTAAATGAATCAAGAGTTCCCCATGTTATGCTCAATTTCACCCATGCCATTAACCAATCACTATTTCACTTCTGTACAATTTAATTTTATCAGTACAATTTTCTTGGATTATGGATTCCATTTATTAATTGAGATTTTAGCATTAATCTGCAAATTGCTTATAAAGTGATTATCATTAAAATCATGTTCATTCTCTGACTCATGGTCATCATTGTAGTACTCACAATGAGCATTGATGTGCCCATAATCATCAAACTCATGACCATTGTTAAACTCAACCATCCTCAAACTCACAACCATTGTTAAACTCACAACCATCCTTAAACTCACAACCATCAATAAATTCACAACCATCGTTAAACTCACAACCATCGTTAAACTCACAACCATTGTTAAACTCAACCATCCTCAAACTCACAACCATTGTTAAACTCACAACCATCGTTAAACTCACAACCATTGTTAAACTCAACCATCCTCAAACTCACAACCATTGTTAAACTCACAACCATCGTTAAACTCACAACCATTGTTAAACTCAACCATCCTCAAACTCACAACCATTGTTAAACTCACAACCATCGTTAAACTCACAACCATCCTTAAACTCACAACCATCAATAAATTCACAACCATCGTTAAACTCACAACCATCGTTAAACTCACAACCATCGTTAAACTCACAACCATCGTTAAACTCACAACCATCGTTAAACTCACAACCATCATTAAACTCACAACCATCGTTAAACTCACAACCATCATCAAACTCACAACCATCGTTAAACTCACAACCATCATCAAACTCACAACCATCATTAAACTCACAACCATCGTTAAACTCACGAGCATCGTTAAACTCACAACCATCGTTAAACTCACAACCATCATCAAACTCACAACCATCATTAAGCTCTCAACCATCGTTAAACTCTCAACTATCTACTTTTCCTACCTCCATTTAAATGTATCAAATTGGCGCTTATCGCGAAAGTCTAAGTACATCGTTAAATTTTTTTATCATCATTCTGTTGCGATCATTGTAGATTTTTATTTATCGTTAGCTCACGATCGTCGCCAACTCACGATCTGCGATCTATGTCGTTACGATCGTGATCAGTTGAGAGTGCAGGTCGTAGTCACGCAATACCCCTATCGAGGTCAGCGTCTGGCCTGCCATGTCCGTAATCAATACGCATGGCTTCTCATGATCCATAGTCAGCTAAGAGCGCATGTTTCAACCATATTTATGGCCGCTGAATTTATTTATGTCCGCTGAATTGTATTTTGAACCGTATTTATGTGCGCTGAACTGTATTTTGAACCGTTTTTCTGGTCACCTAATTGCAGTTTGAACCATCGTTTCTGTGTTCACTGAATTGCATTTTGAACCACCGTTTCTCTGTTTACTGAATTGCATTTTGAACCACCGTTTTTCTTTTCACTGAATTGCATTTTGAACCACCGTTTTTCTTTTCACTGAATTCCATTTTGAACCACAGTTTTTCTGGTCACTGAATTGCACTTTGAACAGTATTTCTGTTGGCTGAACTAATGTATTTTGATTCTCATCTCCGTTCGCTGAACTGTTTCGAACCGTATTTCAGTTCACTAACCCGCGACGCACGGTATATATGCATGCTATTCACGGTATAGAGTTGCCCTTTGACTATGCCATGAATGTATCAACCGTCGCCAATTCTATTCGTATATAAAATCTTGAATTTAACTATGGAGGCTTGAATTAGTATAGAAAAGCTAAAAGGATAAGGGCTATACCCAGTTAAAATTTAGGGCAGGGAATAGAGCAGGCCGTCGCCGGCTGCAGAGCCGGCGTAGAGACGCGACAGAGCAGAAATGTCCGCTTTAGAGACGATATCGCCAGCCGCGTATCAGCGCTAATTAGCTTCTGAGTACCTGCCCAGGTGTGCTCTGACGCAGTTTTAGGGATAGATGGCCGGTTATTGTTTCACGGCTCCATCCTGCTAAAGCGCGACCAGCCCGGCTAAACCCGGCGCCGGTCTCGGCTCAAAATTTTAACTGGGTAGTAAGGTGATCACATAAACAGGGTTTGTACCGGTCATGGAAAACCTGGAAAGCCATGGAATTTGATTTTTTAGTTTTTCCCGGCCTGGAAATTTAAGTCATTGGATTTCATTTCAGGTTATGGAAAGTCATTGAATTTGCAAATAAATGAAAAAAATTTAGTTTTTTTCTGTGCTGCGTGTGTTAACCCATTAATGCCGAGCGGTACCATTTGGAACCGGCGGAGAAAAATGGATTCATAATTAAATTGAATGGTCAAATGACTATACAAGTGGATGCGTAGTTTTGATATACATCTTGTGCACGTTCTGGCAAAGTTAGGTTCTGCTGCGCCGACTACTCTCTTTTCAGTTAACATTCAAAGATTACCAGAACCAGGTCATGGAAAATTCGTGGATTTTTTTTCTAAATACCGGTGCAAACCCTGCTTATATAATTGAGACTTGGAAGATTTCGCTAAACGCACTCAGTTGTAGAGTTGCAGCAATGTTTGCTGGCCGAGCATTTTAAAAGAGTTCCTGTGAGAAATTTTGTTGAAGCATCTTGAAGTGCTAGGAAAATGATAAATTAAACGGAAAATCTTGCTTTTGTGATCATTGGCAACAATAATGTATTTCTGCTTGACAAACAGGAATTTTTCACCTTACGTGCTGTTTTTACGAGCACTTCAGGTTGTGTATGCAAATAAATGTTAGGAATTTGCATGTCTCCTGATGCATTTAGAAGTGTGAGATTTGGGTGAAAAAGTTACTTTTTGAATTTTTTTCATTTTTTAAATCGGAAACATTATTTGTATGCTAATGGCTGCTACTTCAAATGTCACTCTCAGAAACATGATTGGGTTTTATTGTACGAATAGTGGCACCTTCCTACCCCCACAGCATTGGCAGAGAGCGGACGCCCTTTAGTGGGGCCAAACTGGGTCAGGATGACCCAAACAGGGGTAAAAGTGCATCGCTATTTGGACGAAATCTCATTTTTCTAAGTGCGCACCACAATAAGCTCGTCTCTTGGTGTCTCTTATTCGCGTTTATATTTGTACTGCCTTTTCTATTACTTTAGCATTGCGCCGAGGCAAAGAATTTAAAACGATTTCTCACATACCTCTTTAGCATAGTCGAAATCAATCAATTACATTTATGAACAAAGTTTACTGACATTATTTTAATTCATATTCACATACTTACTTGGACAATGTCGTTTTTGGTCTTCAGGCTCTACTCCTAATCACCTTGGGTGCTACCGTGTTCATCATCACAACGGAAAACTTTCCGAAATTGTACAATTGTATTTTAAATAACCCGACATTCCGATACAACGAGAGTTTTATTTGACATCAGGTATTTAGTAGAGTTGGTTGCCGTGCATTTCGTACAGTTTTACGCCGTTCATTTAGATGCCGTGCCCTCAGAAGAGGTAGATGCCGTGCCCTCAGAAGAGGTAGACGCCGTGCCCTCAGTAGAGGTAGACGGCGTGCCCTCAGTAGAGGTAGACGCCGTGCCCTCAGTAAAGGTAGACGCCGTGCCCTCAGTACAGGTAGACGTCGTGCCCTCAGTAGAGGTAAACGCCGTGCCCTCAGTAGCGGTAGACGGCGTGCCCTCAGTAGAGGTAGACGTCGTGCCCTCAGTAAAGGTAGACGCCGTGCCCTCAGTAAAGGTAGACGCCGTGCCCTCAGTACAGGTAGACGACGTGCCCTCAGTAAAGGTAGACGCCGTGCCCTCAGTAAAGGTAGACGGCGTGCCCTCAGTAAAGTAGACGGCGTGCCCCCAGTAGAGGTAGACGGCGTGCTCTCAGTAAAGGTAGACACCGTGCCCTCAGTAGAGGTAGACGCCGTGCCCCCAGTATAGAGGTAGACGGCGTGCCCTCAGTAAAGGTAGACGCCGTGCCCTCAGTAAAGGTAGACGGCGTGCCCTCAGTAAAGGTAGACGCTGTGCCCTCAGTAAAGGTAGACGGCGTGCCCCCAGTAGAGGTAGACACCTCGCCCTCTGTAGAGGTAGACCGTGCCCTTATCTTGATGCTCGTGGACACGGCAAGCAAAAGTAAGCTTACTATATAAAGGCTCATCTGCTGCATATCTTTCAAATCCTTTGCTTTCCCTCGAAAGCCAGAGTTACACCCTTGCACGAATGTGATTTTCTTAACTTACAACCATCGTGAAAGTTGCGATCATCACGGAATTCCCCTTATAGTTACTAAACTTCCGATCAGTGTACAACTTTCGATCATCGCATAATTTTCGATCATCACATGACATCGCATAACCGCAACAACTATAATAATAGTCCCGCTAAACATTCGCATCAAAGTGTTTTACCTGCGTATTCTTACCATTCTATTGAATAGCGGCATGTTTTACAATATTTAGTTGAAATTTAGCCAATGCGCTAAAGTTGAAAATGAAGTCGATTTGTTCGTGCCGGACAAGTCGGTGAAGTTGAGGACGTAGTGAGCCAATTTAACCTTATGCCAATTAAGTTATGAATTTTTTATTTTCTATTAGCTTTCGTTTAGGTTTGTTCTTAACCGTTCCTAGACCCACGGTAGTGAACCGAGTGCAAGAGGCGTGCGAATGATATCAGGTTGACGCGGTAAGCAGGAAAGATTAGTCGCTTCCCTTACCCCTCACCGCGATACTCGTGAGCTGATGACGCTTGATTTAACTTATTTAGCGTTGCTGCTGCACACCCACTCATAACTCGTCGCTGTTCCGTGAGGTTGATGAGGCCGTAATAAGCTTAGTTAAGTTTACTGCGAAATTGGGGATTTCAAAGTGCCTGATGATTCATGATGTATCACGAGTGTACGTAGATATTATTATGTTTACAAACGTGAATCAATTCCCACTCGTTTTCCCTTATAAGTAAATGATTGATTTTTAAGTTTAACAATAGAGCAACTAGCTTAGAAAGCTGGCAGGTATATCATAATAATTTTGGTAGGATCGTGATTTATCTTTTGATTTGTATGCATGCGGATTCTTTCGTAATACCTCGTTAGAGCGAGCTGTTTATTTTCAAACCACGTGTCTAGGCAATGGTTAGAATAACAATTACTTTGTGTGCGCATAATGTGTACCGTTTGGATTTGACTGTTTATTCATTTAATTGTAATATAATTTTCTATTTAAATTTCAGATTGTACTTTCTGCGACTACCCTGATTTTATCAACTGTCTGACATCTTCTGACTCTTAGGTGAGTAAACAAGCGATAGATTAATATCTCTCATAATTGACAGTTCACTAGTTTACTGCTAGTGCATTTTAATTTGTATGATTTAGAGATGGTAACTTCGAATTGGGCGCTGAGAAAAATCGTATTATTTCTTATTCAATTTATTTCAGCCAAGACTGCGTCAATCTATCATCACAAATTATAAAGTGATTGAAAGTCGGAATATTTCTGTAGTAATTTGATATTAAATTTGATTTAAATTTTTAAAGATTGAATTTTTCTACCTCGAGAATAATTTGTAAGCCACCCCGAAAAAGTCGTATGTGCAACATGGCCGCTCGTGCGTCCAGTTGCTACAGGCTTCTAGGTTTGATCCATCGATAAATCGCTATGTCCCTTGACGGTTTAACCTTGGTACTCTGACCTCAGCACTCGCACGAGATCTAGGTAATTTTCATGAAGGAAATTATGTATTATATATCTATTATATTATTAAATGTATGATGTAAATTATACGTGTTGGTGAGATAGATGATTCTCAAGGTAAAACTGTTTAATATGATGCGTGTCTTGGTTTGTTTTTATAGATTGATCAAGACTTGAAACCTTCAAGTACTTGGAGCAATTCTTGCGGCGTTTTCGTTAATGATGGTTTCGCGTCGAAAATATATTCTCGACTTCTAATGAGCTGCTGTTCCAAGCCTTTCTATATTTTTTTCAATTTTGGAATTTACTTATTGTAACTGAGTTTCTCTTGAATTGCTCGGTTTTCTTCCGAAAACTTTCGTACATATTCTAGCCATAGATGTCAATCATGTCATCGATATTTTAATGATTACGGAATAAGTGAACTTATTTGGAAATAAATTTAATGTTCGTTCAGGAAATGATCTGGTCGTAATGTCTAAATAGTTGTACTGATGATACGCCCAATGTTCCCCGACTAAACTAGGTTAGGTTGACCCACTCGAAGATAAAAGTGCATCTCCCTTATTTTTCGATGTCTCCCTTATTTTTCTGAATCGTACTTCTAGGGAATAAATAAGAGAAGTTACCTAATGTGCAGAGTGTCTGCTTAGAATTTTGAAGGAATGCACTGATTAGACTCCTGCGTCTCGAAATAATTTTCTCGAAATGAACCGGGACAGACGAAACGAGACGAGAAAATTCCGGGAAAAAAATAACGGGACAGAGGGTAAAATTTGTCCCGGAATAAACGTATGAACCGAGACAAGACTTCTGTCCCGGACTTTAAAACTTGTGTCCCGGTAAATTATGAACCGGGACAACCTATTTTAACCGGGACGTCTCGTCTCGTCTCGGTATCGTCCCGGAATTCCAACGGAAGGCTGAAAATTGTCCCGGTTTTTATTGCGAACCGGGACAGAGCCTGTTGTCTCGTCTCGTCTCGTCTCGGATTAAAAAAAATACCAAACGCAGGAGTCTAGCACTGATCTCACTCCACCAGAGTGGCAATGGAAAAGCAGTGTTTTCTAGACTTTTCCTCAAATTCAATTTTGAGTTCTTTGAGAAGGCCAGTAAAGTAGTATCATAGATACTAGAATTATCATACATATGATACCATTATGATATCGGTTTAAATTTTGAGGAAATCAGGAAATCAAACATGAATTGATTCTGAAAATTCTCTGCTTTGCCACTATGCACTCCACCCCACCTTCCTCAGCCGCCTAAGCAATATATTTTATTGGCGAGTATATCAATAATATGTATTCATGCAGTGTGTTTGACGTGAATGCAGGAGGATAATGAGAATAATGAACCAAATTGATAGATTTTGTTCTGCCTATCTGAACATGAAGAATACTCATGATAGCCTGTGTTATCTTAATTGTAAGCGCGTTCCGTTACGCAGTGTAGGTTCTGTCTCATCTCTCACTGGTAGAACGCAAGGTTCTGTTTCATATAGACTTAGAATAGAATAGAAGTGTCGACACTGAAAAAATAGGCCTATATGGCCTGTTGCCGATTCTTGTACTTTTCGTGACTTGATTCACAAGGGATCCGGCTTTTGGAACCCGATCTTTCCATAACTGACTATTCGTAAGGTGCTAAGGCGCTAGACTTGACAGTATTCTATTCCATTGCGAGAAATACCAGAAATTTATGCACTTTAATCGCCACACGTGTCCTGCCAATATTCTGTTCCTAATTGTAAAATAATAATAATATGTGATTATTTGTAATTTTTATATTATGCTCCTATACGCTATAGGCAGGAATAGATCACTATGCCATGAATTGAAGTGAATGTAAAACGTATTAAAAGCTAAGTTAGTTGGTTAAAGTAAACCATCGTACTATCATAAAAAAAGTAAGTCAGCAACGCAATATATTTTCCAGGTTTGTTTAATTTATCAACGCCAACATTTTTTAAGAATTTAAAATTTGAACTAGTTGCTGAAGAAGATTCTTATTATGCCTCATTTCAGGTAAAAGTGTCAAGGTATTTAATTTCTCCATTCTATCAATTGCATGGCATTGAATTATTAACCTATTGATGCTTTCATCCGGGTGTGTCCACTGGGATTGACTGCAGCCGCTTACGCCGCGTCGGGCAGCGGTGGGGAAAACGAGTGCTGCTTCGGCTCTTTTTCTGACGATTTGCTGTGCCGCGCACTCACGTGAACGAATAGCAGTCTTTTTGTTGTTGGTTTTAGTTTATTCATTTTCCTAACTCTACTAATTTATAAGGATTTGTAAAAATTGTGTGTGCATTCGAAATATCTTGAATGGAATGAGCATAACATGAACGATTTGACGCTATAAAGAGAGTGAAGGTAGCAGGAAACGCTTCAGGCGACTCATGTCTGGGTCTGGGAATGGAGCGGCGAGTGCTTGAAATTTGCTCAGTGTCGTGTGGTCTGAGGTCGTGGGAGGGTGTGTGCGTCTCTTCCTGTTAGGCGTTGGCTGCTGCACTCTCTTGCCAAGAATCTGTCTTGTTTTATTTTGGGAAATTTACGTTTTGAGTGTTCATGCGGCAAGCTCGCAGTCTGTAGTACAAATGACTCTAAGTTAGATTAAGCTTAGTCTTCCTTGTCACTACACTACACCGCCCTGCCAAGCTACCAAACGCCTCTACCCCGCTTAGCAGCTGTCCCGTCGGCGCTGTAGCCTATCGAATAAGTTCAACGACAAGTCATTTCACCTTTGGTTACGTGCCTTATTTATTAGAGTACGTGCTGTGGGTATATTTGCTCAACATGGATCATCACTTTTCGCTGCTTGTCGTCTTTCTTCGCATAGGTGAGTACTGAGTACCGTAACTGTTACGGTCATTGCTATGTTCACATGTCATCCATGTGTGTGCTACGTCTGATAAACGGTCAACACGTATATCCAATTTTCTACTTGTACAATAGTAAAGTAACGTTTGATTAATTGAAATGAATTTATTGATACGAATGCATTTTATTGCATATACCTGAATGCTCCTGCTTTAACTTGGACTATGATTTATTTTTAATATCGCTTAACAAATATCGCTCTCTAAGATGCTGTCTTTACTATAACTATTCGTCTAGCGCACGAATAATCCGGGATTCAGGTAGGAATAACATTATCACAATTTGGCCATCTTAGGCACGGACGGGCTTCAAGCAAATTTGCCGTATAGTGATATTTTATACAGGAAGATAGCTTCGACTTGCACAACACACATTTCTTCCTGCATGCTGCATCGAATCTGCTAATCAGTTAACAGCAGTTTATCTTCTCGCTATCTTGGTCATTAAACAGAATTCTTGTCAGACCAGCTATACCAGAGAAATTGTTGTGCACTAAATAATAAAATATTATAATAAAAATATATAAGTTCTTTTGAGAATTTCCTCTCCAGCATTTTTGAATTTTTTATTTTATTGTATTACTCGCAAAAGGCTAAAGCTCATGATATATCATCGACGCTATCTAAATAATGCCATTTAACGCTATCTCTACAAGGGGGATGAGCCATCTACTCATTTATTATTGACAATTCATGTTTCAAGTATTTATTCCCACTTCAAAGTGAAGTTCAAACTAATCAAGAGATAGTTCCAAGTTATCAGTTATCTATCATTACTGAGCCTTGTAGAGTGAAACTTTCAGGTCGCATTTCTATGGTTTTGATATGTGACCAACGGTTCTATCCTGAAATTATGTAATTTAAACTTTCCTGGACTTCTACGCATATGTTGTCCAGTGCGACTCGTCAAAGAGAAAGTCACGCTGTGGATCGTCCATCGCCAGGGGCTCTATACGTAGCGGCAGCTCGTACTTCCTGTCAGGGTGTTTCGCTGTTTATCCGTCGGCCGGAGTTTTGACCTTCGTTTAGGCCTACGCAACGTGCGCTAACCTTCAAAATAACAGCATTCCCACCATAATATACGGCCTTCTTTTTAACTTGAACGTTGGGCTCAAAACTTAAGAATAACAGTATTCCCATCTTGATAACCAGCCTCTATTAAGTCATCGTGTGTTAATCTGTAGCACGACTGTCTTTCTTAGTCACTTGTTTCTTCGCCACTAAGGTTTTTTCGCCACCTAGTGATTCTCTGAAACATACCCCGCGGGAGCAAACCTTTAAACTAACCGTATATTTGAGCTTATGAGGGACTTTCTTTCAAGCCTAAGCTGCCTGTTCAAACGTTCGTTAATACCGTATTGGAGGACTAACAACTATCTTGGTTTAAGGCGTAAAGTATGTGTGCAAGCCTCAGCCAAATCAGTGTTTGTGAGCACTCAAAAGTAGAGCACAGTTCAGTTATTGTCAGTGCTACGTTATCAGTGATAAGATGCATCGTTAGTTCCGCCTTTCAAGTCATAAGGAATCAAAGGCGTCTGTATTTGCATTATAATTTGAATTTTATCGAATTTTTCTCTTGTGTAAAAAGTTTGGGTGATCATACCTAGCGTAGGTACCACATACTCTCGCTATTTTCTTATACCTAACTTAGAAACCATGAGGCATTTGGGGCCGCATGGCACGCAATTGTTTGGACTTTCGCCTGTTTGTGTGT